CTCCTCCAGCCTCATCTCCAACCTCACCTCCAACCCCACCCCCAGCCTCACCCCAACCTCTCCTCCAACCTCACCCCCAGCCCTTCCTCAACCTCACCTCCAACCTCATCCCATCCTCACCCCAACCTCACCTCCAGCCAGTCTTTATTGATCCGACTGAGAAGGATGATCACATCTCCAGCTTTGAAATTCAGCTCCAGTTTGCTGTTCCCAGTGAAGTCAAACAGGGCCTGGGAGAAGAGTGGAGTAAGGCAGGACGGAGGAAGCACTCCATGAATTCCTACTACCGTGCTCCACATGCCTCAGGGTCCCAGTCAACGGTTGAGGAGACTGGCTCAAGGAGGATAAGCGACTTGTCTGAGACCACTCATTTGTTCATGGAGGAACCAGGATTGGAAGCCAGGTCTCTCTGACTCCAGAACGGGCTCCTTCCAGACCCGGTGGGATGAGCACAGAGAGGCAAGCATCCAAACTCCCCGGGTTGAGCACCTTCCTCGGCCCCCCAGTGTGGGCCCCAGTCCACACTGTTTCCGCACGTGTGTCCTCAGGGCGCTGTGAGCCCCTTGAGGGCAGGGCCTTGTGTGAGTCATTTCTGAGGCTTTAGTCCCCAGGGTGGGGCTGGTCTGGACGAGGCCAGGAAAGCTTGCTGAATGGATGATGGATGGCCGCATTCCCCCCATGCTCCCCACACCAGCTCCTGTCAGCTGGGCTGGGCGCCCTCAGGGCTGAGGCCGAATCCCTTCCCGCTCCCAGCACCCAGCCCTGTCCTAGGCACACAAAGGGCGCCCAGAGTGGGGGCACAGTGGCCAAAGGTGGAGCCCAGAGGTGAGATGGGAGGCTTGGCCCCGGGGTCGGGGGGGTTACCTCTGCTCTCGGAGCGGCCATGCGGTCAAAGAGGGCGCCTGGTGGGGATTCACTCTTGCTGTGGAGAGAGAAGGGAGGCCCGTCAGCCCTCCTGGTTCTCTCAGGGCCTGGCTCCCTGCTTCTGTGCCCAGAGGAGCCCCTCATCAGGGGGGGGAAAGGCGGGGGAGGGGGAGGATGTCAAAAATGCAGCTGCAATTGCTCCTCTGACCATCGCACTCACTCCCTGGTTCCCGCTGTCGCTGGGGGAGGGATTGTATCTCCTTTTGTGGGCCAGGAAACAGAGGCTCAGCAAGGAGGTGGGGAGGAAGACACACATTTGCTTGGTGCTCTAACTTACCAACGCTTTCACATCTGTTCTTCCTACTACTCCCCACCCCAACCTCTAATTTTTCAACCAAGGAAGCGGGTTGGAGAGGTGCACTGCTCCAGGGCTCTGGGGGCAGGGCCGCGTGGCTCAGGTGACATTGAGACCATGCCTGCCTGCGTGCGTGGGGAGATGGCCAGGCACCAAGAGGACACTCAGAGATACTGGCCTGAGGAGGGAGGGAGGAGCTGGGAGGGAGGCCAGGGCTCAGGAGCCCTGTCCCTGGAATTCTTAGCAGCAGCAGAAGCCTGGCTTTCGAAACCCAGCCTTATTTCAGTGGCTTGGATTCTCCATGATTATTTCCTGCTGAGGAGGGGGCTGGAAGGGAGTAGAGGGCTGTTTGGAATCAGAGAGGGAGCAGCAGCGCCCCCCTGGGGACCAGTGTGATACACCAGGAGCTGCAACTGAGTGTGTGTGGGGGGGAGGGGGGCAGAGCATCCCAGGAAAGGCTCTGAGAAGGTCTGCAGAGAGAGCAGCTCCCCCTTTCCCTCCCTCTCCCCACTCTCTCCGGGCACCCAGAGCCCTGCGGCATCCCCCGTGGGCGCTGTGGCTCCAAACTCTCCCTGTCAGTGGTCCAGCCCCTGTCCTCCGGTCCGCGCTGTCACACACATCAAAATGCATCCGCCTCCTATCCCTCCAGGCCCTGTGCTTGGTTTTCCAAGCTCATCTAACCACCTGAACATCCTGGGGTGTTCAGGGATAGAAGTGATCTCTGGTTCTTCTCTTCCTCCAGGGAAAAGAAGTACCTTTGCAGCAGGGGCATCTGGGGCAGAGATCCTGGTTAAGAGGAGGTGGCCCAGGGCTCTGGCCCAGAGAGCACAGGGGCTGATCACTTACACTTTCCGGGTGCGTGGCCGGAGCCGGCGCAGCGCCTGGGGTACCTGCTCTGCGTCATAGGATGACTGGTAGAAGAAGATCCGGACGTCCTCGTCCATCAGCACCCAGATGGGAAGGCTGAGGAGGCTCTGTGTTGGAGAGAGGAGACAGCACAGGTGGGGGGTCGGCAGAGAGGTCTGGACATCCCAGCCTATCTGCTCCATCCCCGTCCCCCACACTGGTCCCCCCCGTCTCTATCAACGCTGGTTCTGCCCAAGCACGGCAACAGGACACATTTCATTTCGTCCAAGACGTGTAACATCTCATAAGCTTTACTCCTGGGCTCGAGATCAAGAGGGGACCAGCTGGCTTAAGAACAGTTCATTCGGAAAGACCTTAAAGGCCTCCAGACACAACAATGGTGACGACAGGTACGATGACGTGGCGGTGACAGTCCAGGAACTGCACTCAGTGCCACACCACATGGCTTCGCCCCATCTCATAAAAAGCCTGAAAGTTAGTGTCAGGGAGATTAGGGGACCTGCCCAAGGCCACCTGGCCTGGCAAGCGACAGAGCTGGGGCCCCCAGAGCCATCTGCCACCAACGCCCATCCTCGAGAGGAAAATGAGACGATAGCGGGAGGAAGGATGCCTCAAATGACCCAAACCAACAACAGTTGGTGGCATTACAGCCTAAAAAATGCTTTCTGATACTTCATCTCCTATCAGAGTTGGGGAAACTGAGGTTTGGAGAAGCAAAGTGCCGGACCCAGTTGGCAGAGCTGGGAAGGCGAGGAGTCGGGACTCTCACTCCATCTGATGCTGGGTACACTGGCCACAACGCAAAGGCTGTGAGGACGCAGAGTACCCAGAATCTGGCAGGGTCATCCCACCCCCCCCCCAAGCTGGACAACGCATAGGTCCCCAGGAGCTCTGTGGTCAGCTTTGGGTGCCATGGCTCCAGAGGCACCCAGCCCCCTCCCGAGAATCCCACTGAGGCAGCAGGATGGGGAGGGGCCAGGAGGAACCAGGAACCAGGTTCCAGAGGAACCAGGACTGCAAGAGCCTAGACAGGACACAGCTGTCACATGGGGAGGGCTGGAAGGCAGCCCAGAGATGGGGTTAAGGGTACAGACTGAGCCAGGCCACCCCTGGGATCAAGTCCCACTCACCAGCTGGGTGACCCTGGCCAAGGTTGCCTCCATATGCTCATGCATAAAAGGCGGATGCTAATAGCACCTGCCTCGTGGGATGGTGTAAGGATTAAAAAAGTGAACAGGTGCACAACGCTTACAACACGACCGGGCATCTAGCAAGAGCCCCATCAAAGTTGGACATGATCATCGCTGCTGTTACTTCTATCACAACGTAGCACGGAGGGCGAAAGCACAGCCCTGGCGTCCCAGAGACGTGAGTTCAAATCTCAGCCCTCCTCTCTGGCTGCTCTATGGCACCCAATGCGTGGCTCCACCTCTCGGTGCCTCCACTCCCCCATCTGTAAATCGGGATAATAGCATCCAACTCACAAGTAACTGAGGGAAGTAAATCAGCGTGTTCGTCTACCCTACAAATGTATATCAAGAGCCTCCTGGCAAAGCGCCCCACAGCCTTCCAGGCAGGTGTCATTATCACATGATCCATATTCCCCACGCGGACAGTGGTGAGACAGCGGTGCAAGTTACAAGGAATCGGATTTTTCTAATAACTGTCCAAGGAGATGAGCAGGGAAGAGTGGTAGTGAGCTCCCCGGCCCTGAACCGTAGCAGAGATTCCTGCACTGATGGGCCCCTGGGCTCTAAGGAACCGAATCACACAGAGATAGGCAGAGAGGGGACCCTCCAGCCCAGGTGTGCGACCAAGAGGCCCAGCTCCACAGCCTCATCCCTTCCCCCCACCAAGAGCTCACCCCTCTCCTACCCTGCAGGAAGACAGGAGCCTCCAGCCACCCTGAGGGAGCAGGCGTCACAGCGCCCCCTTGAGGGGAGATGCCTCCAGTGCGGCAGCCAAGGGGCTTCCCACCCTCCCTCTTCTCTGCCCAGAGCCCAGGATTCCTACAGCCACTGGAGAGGGCAGGGGTCGCTCCTCCTGCCGCTCACTCCGCTAGGAGTTATGATCTCTCACATTCTGGAAGCTCCCAACATCACTCCTCCCCCAGGAGACCAGAGAGCTGGAGGCACCGCCGCATTTCACAGGTGAGGAAACCCAGGCCCAGAGAGGATGAGTTACTTGGCCCAAATCACCCAAACGTCAATGTCAGAGCGAAGACTGAAGACGCCTTGTTCCGTAGGTGTAGAGGTAGAAGAGGAGGGGGAGGCCTCACTGACTGTGAGGGGGCCTCTGTGCTAGGAGGAGGGCTCCCCTCTGGAGTTTCCTAAGGTTGCCATCAAGCCGTGGCTTGGATGCCTCTAGTGACAGGGTGCTCACTACCTCATGAGGAAACCCGCCGCTTTCTTGCACAGCCCTGATTGGTAGAAGGGCTTTCCTAACCAGCCTGGTCTCAGCCTTCAAGATGCTTCTTTCTCTTTGCTTCCGTCTCCTAGGGATGCAGACAATTTAAAGGTTGGGGAGTATCCAAGGGCACCTGGGCAAGGCTCGTGAATGCCACTAACACAAGCCCGTGCCTTGGCAAGGGAGGGCCTTTCTCCAGTTCATACAAAGGGGCCATGTGAGAGAGCTGGGGCCCCGGTCCCTCACGCCTCCGTTACACAGGCCACGGTTCTGTGATTTCGTGACCCACCTCTCCGTGTCCCCCACTGGGCAGCAGGTACCTCGGGGGCACACACTCAATCCTATTCAGCTCGCTATCAGGACACTTGGCACAGACATCAGATTGGTCGATTCACAGTGCGGTTCCTGTACCTTCTCCACTGCCTCTGCCCCACCCCCTGGAGCTCTGAGAACACAACCTATTTCTCCCCACAGGCCAGGCCTTTAAGGATTGAAGATGGGGGCCATTGGAGCAGGAGAAGCAACCCCACAGCTGTGCTCAGGGATGGTACATGGGCTGCTTTCCTCTCTGTGCCCTTCCAGATGCCCTCCCAGGTGCCCTTCCAGATGCCCTCCTTGATGCCCTCCTAGATGCCCTCCAAGATGCCCTCCCAGGTGCCCTCCCAGATGCCCTCCCTGATGCCCTCCCAGGTGATCTCCCAGATGCCCTCCCAGGTGCCCTCCCAGGTGCCCAGGCAGCACGGCCCCACGGTTACCTTCATGTAGGCGTTGAGGGCAGGAATCCGCATCTCAGCGATCTCCTGTTTCACACCCACGTACACTTTGGCTGAGGAAGTGCAAAGAGCTGTCCTGGGAGCCTGGTCTGAGCACATGGTCTCTGGGCCCCGAGCTGCACCACCCCCCGAGGCCAGGAACCCTCCCCACTGTCTCAGCGGCGCTCAAGAGACCCCTCCAGTCCACACTGCCTTTCAGCTTGCTTTCAGCTGGGTTGCACTGTTTCCAGCTGATATTTTACTTGTTTCTTTACTGCCTGTTCCTACACACACACACACACACACACACACACACACACAC